GGAAGCTGTCCTGGTGGGATGGGCTTCACTAGAATTGTGCTGGGACCAGTGTCCTGGTGAATCAAGTATCTAGAGCTGAGTGAGGCCTTTAAACTAAATAGAGGTGAGGGATTTGGGAGAGAAGAAATGTATGCTTATAAAGCAAGGGGATATGGCAGTATTACAGGGCAGTTGCTTCCAAGATAACCAGAGAGGGAAGGAAATTACACACCATGCTAACATAGAAAAACATCAGTAAGTAGGATCAAAGGGTGGAAAAATAGTAAGAAAGACAAGGTTACTGGTTCTTTACTTGAAAAAGTAAAGCGGAGTCATAGAGGCAGGTTGACCAAGCGATGCCAGAGACAAAAACAGGTCAGTTAGGTCGATGTCTGTTCTTGGGAAAATGTTACAGCCTGATATAAAGGACGCAATAGTAAAGCATTTAGAAATACATAATAAAATGAGGCAGTCAGCATGGCTTTATTTAGGGGAAATCATGTCTGACAAATTTACTAGAATTCTTTAAGGAAGTAACAAACAGAATAGATAAAGGGCAAGCAGTGGATGTAATATTTTTGGATGCTCAGGGATGTTTGCTAAAGTACCACACATTAGGCTACTTGATAAAATAAAAAGGTCATGGTGTTGGAAGTAGTATATTAGCATGAAAAGAGGATTAGCTAACTAATAGAAGACAGAGTTGGGGTACAGTGGGCATTTTCAGGATAGCAACCTGTAACTAGTGGAGTGCCATGGGAACCAGTGCAGGGCCACATTATTTACAATATATATTAATGACTTGGATGAGGAAAGTGTGTGTACTATAGCTAAGTTTGCAGATGACAAAGGAATAGGTGATAAGACAAATGGTGAAGATGACATAAAGAGTCTGCAGAGGGATATAGACAGGTTATGTGAGTGGGCAAAAACTTGGCAGATGGAATATAGTGTGGGAAAATGTGAGGTTATTCATTCTGGCAGAAAGAATAGAAGAAGGGAATATTATTTGAATGGGGGAGACGGCAGAAAGCTTTGGCACAGCGGGGCTTAGGAGACCGATTGCATGAATCACAAAATGCTAGCAACCAAGTTCAGCGGCTATTAAGGAAAGCAAAATAAAAGGAAACGAGTGGAAAAGGAAAGGAAATCTTGCAAAAACAGTACAAGGTACTAGTCAGAGCACAGCTGGAATACTGTGAACAGTTTTGGGTCTCGTTATAGAGGCAGTCCAGAGAAGGTTCACTAAGCTCATCCTGGGCATGGCAGAATTGTCTAACAAGGAGGGGTTGAGTATGTTGGGCCTATAATAATTGGAAATGAGAAGAATGAGAAATAACCTTGTGGAAACATGTAAGATACTTAGGAGGACTTGACAGTGTAGGTGCAGAAAGGCTGGTCCGCCTTGGGGAGAGTCTAGGACCAGAGGGCATCGTCTCAGAGTAAGGAGTCGCACATTTAAGATGGAGGAATTTCGTTTCTCAGAGTCAGTTTGTCATGTATATAACTATATGTGACAAGACAGATTTTGAATCAGGAAAGAGATCAAGGATTATATGGAAAAGACAGGAAAGTGATGTTGGAGGATTATCAAGTCAGCCATGACATAATTGAATGGTGCAGAGGCTTAATGGGCTGAATGGTCTACCTCCACTCCTATGCTTTATGGTCTTAGGATCGTCATTCTGCATTTATTTATTGACAATTTAGGGACACTTTGAGCTGAAGGCTGTAAGACCTAGATTGCAACCGCCCAAACTCAACATCTGGATACTAATAACAGCTTGGATTAATACAGCACTTCCAACATGATAAAATATTCCAAGGCTTTTTATAGGACCATTATGAAACAAAATTAGACAGTGTGCCACATAAGAGATAACCAAAAAGCTTGGTTAAATAAGGAGGTTTTGAGCAGTGCCATAATAGAGAAAAGTAAGGTAGAAGAGGTTTGGAGATGTAATTCCAGAGGTAGGCCCCTCGACACCACTGGTGGAGTTACTAAAGTCAGCAATGTCCAAGAAGTCAGAACTGAATGGGTGTAGATTTCCCTGAGGAACAGAATGGGATTACTAAGACATTGATGGATTTGAAAGCAAGAAAGAAAATGTTAAAATCAAGTTATTGCTTCTTTGAGGGCCAACGTACATCAGAAAACTGAAAGATGATAGGTAAATGGGACTTGGTGTGAGTTAGGATATGAGCAGAAGAATTTTGGATGACCTCAGGTTCATAGAGCTTATAGAGGTATGTGTTGAAATACTCAAATTTTGAGGTAACAAAGGCAAGAATGATAGTTGACACAGCAGATGAGCAGAAACAAGGGTGAAGGAGGATAATGTTACAGAAGTAGAAACAGGTAGCCTTGCTGATGGTACAAATATATGGGGAAAGTTCATCTTAGGGTCAAATATAACAAGGTTGCAAACAGCCTGGTTTAATCTTATATAGTCGCTAGGGAGTGGGTTGGAGATGGTAGCTAGGGAACATAATTTGAAGTGATACCATAAACAGTGGCTTCAGTTTTTCTAGTGCTTAACTGGAGGACATTTCTGCTTATTTAGTAATTGATGCTGAATAAGCAACCTGATCATTGAGGAACAGTACAGAAGTCAAAAGAGGTGAGGGAGACCTGGGGTGAGGAACAATTGCTGGATTTTAACTTGCTTGTCATGGGACAATGTCAATACCCCAAGTGCCTCCTTCTAATGAGGTGGCAGATGTAATTGGCAAGTTAGTAACTGATGGATTGCAGATGAGGTCCTGTCTTGCTGAGGTGTTGAAACACTTTGATTGGATCAAAGTAAGGAGCTTCAGGCAGGGGGGCGCATCTGGATTTCACTTCCTTCTTTTATTTTTTTCTAGCCCATCTTTTAAAAAGAAACTAAAATTGAAGACGTCTATTCTCCACTCTTAAAAGTACCTCAGCCAGATGAGCATTCTTCACATGTAAAGATTTACAGAGAGTGTTAGCAGGCTATTCAACTATTTAATATGTCAGTCAAAACCCAATCCTGTCCAACGTACACTTTCCCACGTGAATCACAATAAGGCAATTGGGAGGGACAACTCTGGTTGACTTTTTTTCACCATTTTCCAACCCCGTAGCATTAAGACCTCCAGCATCTTGTCAGATCAGCCAACTTAACACAGACTATCAATAAAAGTGAGGACCTGACTGACCTCAATTGTTACATCTCCTACTCATTAATTCATTGATTGAGCCATTAGGGAGCAGTTACTTTAACTGCTTTAAGTGTTGGGGTAACTAAAATAAGAAATAGTGCTGCAGCATTAAAAGAGCACTCCAGCCGCAGACCTAGTGTTTTAATTAGTTTTCTCATTGCATTAGTATCAATACATTATAGGAAAAGTTACACTGAACACTCTCTACTGTGAGGAATTTACTTGCACAAAACTTTAATCACCTTAATTAATTCCACATTAAAACCACCAACAATATTGTAATAATCACCTGTCTTTCATCTAAACTCAAAATGACTGGTACAATCATCATGTAAATCTTTTTATCCTATGGGATGTTTTTCCATAGTGGACATACCAAAGCTGGAACTTTTTGGAATCCTAATGACCGTATCAAGAATCAACATATTAATTCCACTTCACTTTGTCCTGTGCCATCCATTGCTCACTGCAGAATAAGGGACTGTATTTTGTCTCCCCATTGGCGGTGTGAACTGAAATAACTGGGTGCAGAATTTTGTGCAGTTGGCCATTGGAACTGGAGCACCAGCACATCCTAATCCCAGGCCATCTTTCCAGACGTGGGACGGCAGTGTGGGCAGCAGGGCTACCTGCCCACAAGCAGCAGGTACTCAATTCCATTACGTTATCAAGTCCTGTTGTTGGAAGCCACCCAGAGCAGTAGGACATTCTGAGAAGCGGTTTCCCCATTCCACCAAAGAGATGGCCTGGTTGCAAATGCCTTTTTCTTATTTTGAGGCATCCTACCAGTGCTTTATAATGGCCAGAAGGCCTCAAAATGGGCCTCCAGCTTTCAGAGACCACCCAACATGTATACCCACCCACTGGTCACTAATTGGCCATGTTTGGTAACAACAAATTTAGAGACATTCCCACAGAGTCTCAACTATAAGTAAGTTGCCTGCAACAACTACAAGGATTAGAAATTCCACAGGGATATCTCAAAGAACCTTTGAGTCTCAAGTGGCCTGAAATGTTTGGAGGGGTCTCTGAATTTGATGAGCTAGGCATTTTTCACTTCTTCGCTTTTATTGTGCATACAGTTATTTTCTGTTGTAAGATATGTTTTTCCATAACCAAAACTGGGTTTGTTGGCACACAGGTATGAAACTGTATGGGGGCAAGATAACAATCTCCAAAATGGCTGACAACAAACTAACAGAAAATTAGCTTCACAAATGAATGTAAATGGGGGGGTGATGGTCATGAATAGGAGTTTAAGGCTCAATATTTTCCCTGGAGCATCGGAGGTGGAGGGGTGACCTTATACAGGTTTATAAAAATCATGAGGGGTATGGATAAGGTGAATAGTCAAGGTCTTTTTCCCAGGGTAGTGGAGTCCAAAACTAGAGGGCACAGGTTTTATGGTGAGAGGGGAAAGATTTAAAAGGGTCCTAAGGGGCAACTTTTTCACACAGAGGGTGGTGCGTGTATGGAACGGGCTGCCAGAGGAAGTGGTGGAGGCTGGTACAACTACAACATTTAAAAGGCATCTGGATGGGTACATGAATAGGAAGGGTTTAGAGGGATATGGGCCAAATGGGACTAGATCAGTTTTGGATATCCTATTGGCATGGATGAGTTGGACCAAAGGGTCTATTTCCATGCTCTCCAGCTCTAAGACTGTAAGTGCTGCCTGCTTGGCACCGTGGTGCCAATATTAAACTGCCTTTTGAGTTAGAGCTGCCTGTTTTATTTCCTCAAGTACATAAAAGACTGTAATGCTTCTCTGTAGATCTTACCAAATTTGACAAAAAGCACACCCGTGGTTGAGACAGATTTTTGTCCATTTGTAGCTACGCATTGGAAATAACCCGTGTCTGTGGTATCGAGGTTTCGTATTCGGAGGCGGGAGCCATAGCTGGTCAGCCGGTACGATATCCTCCGTGGTTCCTGGACAACTGGTGCATCATTCTTCAACCAGCGGATGGTTGGAGCCGGATTGCCGGAGACTTTGCAGTATAACTCTGCAGTCTGGCCAAGTGAGGTTGTGATATTATTCATTGGCTCATCCAGGGTTAGATAGTAATCTGAAAAATAAAGAGTTTTTCAAAATTATCTTTAGTTGCAAGTCTGCAAAAGAGCTCAGTCAACGTGGAAGAATCATAAAATACATTCAGTGACAAGGAAACCAAGTATTTTTGATATTGGTCAGTGGCTAAATCCATCACAAAGTTTCATACTGATCCTTATAGACCACAAATATTTTAAGTTGAATTCACTATCTGCATTGAATTAGTTTGTTCAGTGTCAGCGGATGAGAGGGAACGGTTAAAATGGTCAGATCCGCAATCCTTTTAAAGCTTGGCTCAAAGGAAGCGTCTTCACTTTTCATTCAGGTGAAGGTTTCAAGCCCTATTCCAACTTAATCTGGGTTGACACTTCAAGGCATTGCATAAGGAGTATTGCATTGTTAGAGGTGCTGATATGTGTAACTGAGTTGGTTCCTGTGGCAATATTCAAGGGGCATTCTCCACTGCACTGAGGAATATTTATCCCTTGATCAAGATCACTGAAAATAGTTGAAATGTTCATTATCTCATTCATGTTTCCTGGTCCTTGCTTTGTTGAAACGATCATCACGTTGCCCTGTTTAATGATGATAATCACTTCAAAATTACTGCATTGGCTCCAAAGCACTTTGGAACATAAAAAGGTCCTATATGTATGCAAACTAGTTATAGAATCATAGAATCCCTACAGTGTGGAAGCAGGCCATTGAGCCCATCGTGTCCACACTGACTCTCTGAACAGCGTCCCACCGAGACCCACCTCCCAACCTTATGCCTGTAACTCTGCATTTTTCCATGGCTAATCCACCCAACCTGCATATCTTTGGACTTTGGGAGGAAACCCACGCAGACACAGGGAGAATGTGCAATCTCCACACAGACAGTCACCCAAGGCTGGAATCGAACCCGGGTCCCTGGCACTGTGTTACCCACTGAACCACTGTGCCACCCCAATTCTTACTTTGTTGCATTGATGCCTCCCAACAAATGCACTTGTGTGCCTGTGTGCCAGGGAAAAGATCAGGCCAAGTTGACATAAGATTTAATAAATGGTATTACGCTGTGGTCAAACAGGCTGAATACATTCATTTCTTAGTTTGTGAAGAATATTGAGGTAAGGAAAATAGAGTTGAGGCCACCATCAGATCAACCTTGATCTCACTGAATGGTGGAGCAGGCTCAAAGGGCTGAATGGCCTAAACTTGCTACTAATTCTTGCATATTCTACTTAAAATTGTCTGGTGCTCCTGAAATAGTCTCCATCATAAATTAGTTTCTCCAGAAAGCATTGAAGAAACAATTCATTTCCTAAAAATAAAATTGATAAATAACTCGACACGAGTGTGATTATGTTATCTTGATATCTGCAGAAAGAAATTTCCTGGATTTGAAACATTTAGCATGTCCTTGTTTACAAACTCTCTCTTCAGACAATTCAGCCTAAGTCGTTACGTTATAAAACACAGAGCAAAGAAAGCAAAATCTCCAAATATGTTCAAAATTTCTTTTTTCTCTGTCACAAAACACGTTTGACCTCCATCCTCTCTTTAACTATAATTTCTTAAATGTTGCAGCTTGTACTTCTCTTGGCAATGTTAACTGCTAATTACTTTGTAAATTCCAAATACTTTATTACTTTCTTTCAAGATGAGACACACCGCTGATAGTTCAACACGGGAGCTACTGCGTTCCAGATTGTACTGGCAAATCCAGCAGAATCATTTTATGGTCATGAATCATCAAGGCTGCCTGAAGGTACTGCACACAAAGGGATTGGCAGGCTGGTGAGAGTAAATTAAAATTTCAAAACCCCTTAAACACGAGTCTTAAAAATAACAGACTGTCTGAGTTTTAATAGCACTGATTGGGAATTAATAATACCAAGCATTTAATGAGGTGTATAACCACCCAGCATTCTCTAGAAATTACATTTTATGCCCTACTTATATTGCAGAGCTGATTCCAGAACAACCAGCACAGCCATTTGCAAGTCCTAGTCTACTTTTATTTCTGTCCACAGTACGCTCTCTAGTTTCCAGGGAAGTAGAAACCGGTTAGTGAGTAAATAGCCACATTGTTGACCTGTTTGCCAAGGCTGAGCCATAAAAAGGTCACCACCTCCATAAATCAGGTTAATGCCCTACTATGCATCTCACTGTTCTCAGGTTGAGTCGTTGCAGCTCCATAAATAGCAATGCCACCGTCATCAGAGTGCTAGTGGGTTCCAAGTAACTGAGATGTAACCAATGTCTAACCAGCATCATTTGTAAACATTAACACTGCTTTCTCTTCACAGATGCTGCCAGACCTGCTCAGTTTTTCCAGCAATTTCTGCTTTTGTAGCAATATCCCCACGTTCCTCTTCAAAATCAGCAATGGGATCTTTCCATGTCCTGCAGAGAAAACTGGTAAGACTTTGGTTGAACATCTCATCTGAAACATCTCCAACACTATAGCACTTCCTCTACATAGAACATAGAACAGTACAGCACAGTACAGGCCCTTCAGCCCACGATGTTGTGCCAAACTTTTACCCTAAACTTAACGTCTATCTAACCTCCACCCCTACCTTATACTATCATCCTTATGCCTATCTAATAGCAGCTTAAATGCCCCTTATGAGGCCGACTCCACTACTCTCTCCGGCAATGCATTCCACACCCCAACCACACTCTGAGTAAAGAACCTACCTCTGACCTGTCCCCTATATCTACCTCCACTCACTTTAAAACTATGCCTTCTCGTAATAGCTACCTCCATCCTAGGAAAAAGTCTCTGGCTGTCTACTCTATCTATACCTCTGATCATTTTGTACCAAAGCCTTTGCCTGGACTATGGGGAATGGAATCCAAACTCTCAACCTGACTCACAGACCAGTTTACTACAGAACTACAGCTGGATGCTAAGCCCAAAAATATTGTACAAGGTGCAGTTAGGTCATCACTTTTGATCCCTTGGTATTTAGCTCTCATCTCAGAGAGCTACGTGTTTTCTCTCGCTATCTTACAGATAATTTCTGATGACAAAGAGTGTGATGCAAAGTGCTGTAACCACAGCTACCACCTTGTTCCAATATCAGAGGTGACTTGCCAACATATGGAACATAGAACAGAACTGTACAGCACAGGAATGGGCCCCTCAGCCCATCATGTTGTGCCCAACATGATGCCAAATGAAACTAATCCTTTCTGCCTGCCATTGGTCCATATCCCTCCATTCCTTGCATACTTATGAGCTTATCTAAAAGTCTCTTAAATGCCCCTATTGTATCTGCCTCTACCACTGCCCCTGGCAGCGTATTCCAGACTCCTACCACTCCATAAGAAACTTGTCCCTCACATCACTTCTCCCCTCTCGCCTTAAATGAATGGTCCCTCTAATTAGACATTTCGACTCTGGGGAAAAGATTCTGATCGTCAACCCTACCTTGTGCATCTCAATTTTATAGACTTCTTTCAAGTCTGCTCTCAGCCTCTGCCACTCCAGAGGAAACAACCCGAGTGTTTCTAGCCTCTCCTTATAGTACATACCCTCTAATCCAGCAGCATCCTGGTAAACCTCTTCTGCACCCTCTCCAAAGCCTCCACATCCTTCCCGTAACGTAGCAACCAGAACTGAGCGCAAAACTCTCAGCATGGCCTAACCAAAGTCTTGTAAAGTTGCAACATGACATCCCGACTCTTGTACTCAATTGCCCGACCAATAAAGGCAAACATGCCATCTGCCTTCTTTACCACCCTATCTACTTGCGTGTCTACTTTCAGGGAGCCATGGACTTGAATCCCAAGATCCTTCTGTACATCAATGCTGTTCAGAGTCCTGCCATTAACTGCATACTTTTCCTTAACATTTGATCTCCCAATTACACTTACCCAGATTAAAACTCCATTTGCCATTTCTCTACCCATATCAACAACTGGTCTATATCCCGCTGTATCCTTTGACAATCTTCTACACTATCTAAAACTCTACAGATCTTTGTATCATCTGCAAACTTGCTAACCCACCCACCTACATTTTCATCCAAGTCATTTATACATATCACAAAAAGCAGATGTCCCAGTACAGATCCTTGTGGAATACCACTCGTCATGGACCTCCAGCCTGAAAGACACCCTTCCACCACTACCCTCTGCCTTCTATGGACAAGCCAATTCGATGTTCAAGCAGCCAAGTCACCACGGATCCCATGCATCTTAATCTTCTGGATGAGCCTACCATGAGGGACCTTGTTGAAAGCCTAACTAAAATCTGTGCAGACAGCATCTACTGCTCTATTCTCATCTATCACCTTTGTCACCTCCTTTAAAAATTCAGTCAAGTGAGTAAGACAGACCTGCCCCGCATGAAGCCATGCTGACTGTTCCTAATTAGGCCATGCATTTCCAAATGCGTGTAAATCCTACTCCTAAGAATTCTCTCCAATAGCTTCCCAACCACTGATGACTCACTGGTCTGTAGTTTCCTAGATTGTCCCTATTTCCCTTCCTGAACAGACGAACAACATTAGCTACTTGCCAGTCCTCCGGAACCTCTCTAGTGGCTAACGAGAACACAAAGGTCTTGGTCAAGTCCCCAGCAATCTCCTCTCTTGCCTCTCTCAACAATCTGGGGTGGATATCATTGGGCTCTGGGGACTTATCCACCTTAATGCTCTTCAAGAGACCCAACACTACTTCTTTCTTGATTTCAAAATGCCCTAGCATATTAGCATGCTGCACACAAATCTCACTGTCCTCCATACCCATCTCCTGGGTGAATACCAAGGCCAAGCACTCATTTAGGATCTCACCCACATCCTCTGCCTCCAAGCACAAGTTCCCTCCTTTATCTTTGAGTGGTCCTACCTTCTCCCTAGTTATCCTCTTGTTTTTAATGTACCTTTAGAATGCCTTGGGATTCTCTTTAACCCTACTTGCCAAGATCAATTCATGGCCCCTTGTTCTCCTAATTCCCTGCTTTAGTACTTTCCCGCTTTCTTTACCTTCCTCACGGTCCTTGCAAGATTTTTGGAACCTTCAGCAATTCAGAAAATTCAGACAATCAAAATGAGAGATTCTACCATCTCAGACAGAAATTCTTTATATTGTACAACTGAGTTTAATCAAAATCAATTGGAAATTCTCTTCCCATCATGTTCCACCATTACCACCCCCATCCCTGTTACTTTCTGTTGAGAATTAACCCCAGAACAATCATTCTTTATTTTATTACTCAAAGAAATCCTTTACACTTTCCATGGCAACTTTATACAGAACATAAACTAATTTCTCTGCTTGGCTTATGTTGGCAGGCTATCATCTTAGCCTCCTCACTTCAGACTTATCTCAGACTTAGCAGGGACTCTATGCTTTTACAGTTATATAATTAAAAAAAACTTTATAGATCTTAGACATCCTAGGAAATTCTACTTCCTTCTGTCACACTTTTATCTCCAGCTATTTCCTTTCATGAAGAGAGGCTCATTCACAGACACAGATCCACACGTCACCCTTACATACCACACCCGATCTGCTGTTGTTTCTATCTGTATCTGGACACAGAATTCCAGCAGACTATTGGACTGTAGAGGGCATCATGGAGAAACAAAGAAATTGTATTTATTTAGTGCTTTCCACAACTTCAATGTATTCCAAACAGAAAAAGCTAAAAACATACTGCGGCAGCACAGAAAAAGACAGCAGCCAATTTTGTGCATAGTGGTCACGTGCTACAGCTGAATTTTCCATTTCTGGAGGAGGTAGACCAGAGGTCACAATCTCTCATCCCTGGCCAGCCTGCCTGTTTGCCAGCACTTTCCTGTTTCCTCCTCCTCACAAGGAGTGGGCCAGAGCTTCAGCAGGTTTGATCCCAACCACTCCCTTCAGCCAACCTTTGGAGATGACCATAGCTGGTGCTCCACGATGGACAGATTCGATTTGGAATTATCGGTCTGGCAGCTGAAGTTGGTATCGATGTCACCTTTAGTCTTGAGGTAGTCTCCCTCTTTTAGCTTCAGACAGAGTGGCTGCTGAACTCTCAGAAGTGTAGAGTCTCTTATTGGCCTCCCAGTCTTGGGAGACTGCCCACTGCCCTTCAGTCTATAGTGAACATATTCCCTAGATGTTAAATATCCTGTGTGATGAAAATTGTTTTGGGCCTCAGGTGTCAACTTAGTGTGGAATCAGGACTTAGAAATAGTCCACGGCAAGGTCCCAAACCCAGAACTAAAATTTGGACCTCTATCTTGTCCACAAACTAGAGAGGTTGCAAAGGAGATTAAAAGGATGTTGCCATGACTGGAACATTGCTCTAATGAGGAAAGACTGGATAGGCTAGGGTTGTCTTCCTTGGAAGAGAGGGTGATTGAGAGGATGTTTTCATTGAAGTGTGCAAGGTTATGAGGGGGCGCATAGAGTGCATGTGGAGTAGTGTGACATGTACTGGTCACCTTATTGAAGGCAGGATGTAAATATGTTGAAGGTAATTCAGAGAAGGTTTACTAGACTAACAGTTGGAAAGTACAGCTAGTCTTATGAAGAAGGCTTGTAAATCGTGGTGTTTAGAGGAGTAAGAGGTGACTTGATTGAAATATATAAAATCCTAATGGGTCATCACAGGGTGGGGAGGATGTTTCCTCTAATGGGAGAATCTAGAACTAGATTTTAAAAAAAATCAGGGATCATCTATTTGAAACTAAGATTAGGGCTGAACCTTATCACTGAATCACAGAATTGTTAAGGTGCAAAAAGAGGCCATTTTGCCCATTATGTCTTCACTGATTCTTCAATTGAACATCATTAAATACTGCCAATCTTCTGATTTTTCCCTATATTCTTGTACATTATTTCTTTCTGAATAATTGTCCAAAATCCTCTTGAATGCCCTTAACTGAACCTGCTTCCACTTCATTTCCAGCCAGTGCATTGCTTATTTGAACTACTCGCTTGGAGAGAAGGATTTTTCCTCCTATCACTCTTGCTTCTTCTGCAAATCACATTAAATCTATGCCCTCTTGTTCTTGTTCATTTATGGGCGGGAACAGTTTCTCCTCATCTATGCTAGTCAGTCTGTTCATGATTTTAAAAACCTCTATCAGATCTCCTCTTAGCCTTCTTCAATCCACCTTCACTGAAAATTCTCATCCCTGGAGCCTTTCTTGTAAATCATCTCTGTTGTCTCTCCAGTGTATCCACATACCTCCTTTAATGTGGCATCCAGACTGTACACAATACTTCACGTGAGCTCTAACAAGTGTCTACATCACCTCCTTGCTCTTGTACTCTATGCGCCCATTAATAAAGCAGAGGGCACTGAATGCTTTACTTCCTGCTGTCTCTACCTGTCCTTTCAATGATCTGTGTACACATACACCCACATCCCCCTGCTCTGCACCTCCCTTTAGAACTGTATTTCCTATTATATATTG